ACGAGACGGGACTATAATGTTATTTGAGGACTACCGGACATTTAAAATACATCCTATAGGCTGTCTTGTCCTTCAAAATGTGTGTCCCTGTCATTGGATTGCAATCGGATAAGGGCCGTTTGCATATCTAGTTTCAGTATGGCAGCTGCAGTGGATGGATAGGCTACCAAAATGCGCACTAGCGATCTGAAACAATGGCCTCAGCACCCGAAGGGGTAGGGATAAGGTGACCAGACGTCCCGTTTTTCTCATAAGCTTAATTGATCTGGTCTTGGTAAAGAGAGAAGAATTAATGACTTTTTGTTTTAAGACTACATTTAAAATAGCTACCTAAAAAAAAAATTAGGATGCAAGCATGGAATAGAAATGATAGAGGGTGCTGAAAACTTGCTAGCAGCAAATTACCTTAAAGTACTAAGACTAAAAGAGGTAAATAAGCAGGAAGAATTAGCCAGAATAGAAAAAAGAATGAAGGGATCAAAATTAGGAAAAAGAGAAATGAAAACATTATATAAAACCCCATATGGAGAGAGTAAAAATGACTGTGGGAAAGTTAGTGAGAAGTATGGATCATGGGAAAACCCAGAGAAAAGGTTTGCACCAATTGAAAAGTTAGCAGCCTTAAGTAAAAGATACCCAGAATTAAAAGGACTGGCTAGAGGAAGGACTATGTTTGTTAACACTGACGAGCCAGTGGTGGCACACTTGAGTAAGAATAAAGTGAAATACAGTAAAGCCCAGACCACAAGATGGGAAAGATGGGGAGACATGCTTTTAGACCCAGATCTGAAAATTGGACACAAGGAACAGAAAAAGTGTCAGAAGAAAAAAGTAGATTTGGTAAAGTATACAGTAGTCTATACGGACGGTTCTAAAACAGTTAAAGATGAAAAGGCACACTGGGGATACATAAAACAGAGAGGGCAGGAGAAAGATAGAAATAAGGGAGAAATAGAAGGAACAGCACAGACAGCTTAAGTTAAAGCTGTGGTAGAAGCACTAAAGAAATTAATAGAATTGGGCATAAAACAGGCTATAATAATAACAGCTAGTAAAATATGTTGAAGCAAGAATGAATGAGTATTTGCATAAGAAAAAGAAAGGTGCAAAACCTACACAACAAAAACCTATTATAGAAGGAAAAACAGAAGATCTACCGACACAGACTGACTCTGATGATTAAGGTAGTCATGAATTTGACCACAACATCAGAACCCGAAATACTCGCCTGTGCGGTTGAAATGGAACTGGCTCGGGAATGACGTTGCAGGGTTATTCTTGAGTAAGACAGGACCGTTGAAAAGGGGGATGGAGGGGGCCACCGGAAAACTCCCATTAATTATTTTTAGTTTGCAGGAACTATGAAATTGGGCAAGAAAAATGAAGGAATGGAAAGAACCGTGTCTGCCCAAACCAGTATTACTAGTAACTTTAGTAATAGGGACCATAACCTTAGTAGGGATATGGCCTTTGGTTGATTTTCCAACCCAATTAATAGTAGTGGACCAAATTTACATACAAGAACTTGCAAATTGTCCTATAGTAGAGATAAGTGTTAAATTGCAAAAAGTCTATTTTAGAAGAATGTAGCCAATGTACAGAAATAGTGGAAAAATACACAAAAAGAACCAATACAATGGTAAAATTTAGATTGAGAAGGAAAATATTTAAAGCTGCAGTCCGTAACTTTTTTTGGTTAAAAATGATCCGAAATCAATATTTGAGCAAGTACATAACCAGACAGTGTTCAAAACTATCGCCTTACTTTAGCCCGATTCACAACGGTTAGTTTATAATAATGTTTTCTAATTTGAGTGGTACGGGTAGGTTTTCACAGGAAATTCGAGCATGGCACTGCGTCATTACGTCACATCTGTAAACAAAGAAGTTGTCCCGGCTACTAGGCTATTGCATGTGAGGATCTTGCAGGTGGCGGATCGTTTATAGCCTTTTCTCTTTTCTCACAGCAGCCAGAATAATTAAATGTATAATTTTGATGGCGATTGTAATCCATAAAGGATTGTGTGTTTATGAAACATGTGAATAAAATAAAATTATATTCCAGTTATAAATGTGCTTCTGATTACAGATAGCCTGGGATTACAAAGATTTGTATTTTAAAGAAAACCAGTTCGAAGGGAGCATAATTTGCTTTTTGGGTTAAAAGAATTTCTTAATATGAAGAGTATGACAATTAGATTAGAATGTGCAGAAATTGAAATATACACGCCAATACACACTATACTCAGTCACCAATGCTGATGTTGTTAACATTAATCATTTGAGAAGTATAAGAATAATAATAATAATTTGAATGGTTTGATGTGATATGAGCTAACCGATCTTTAGATTTAATCACCATTGGTAGCGAGATTGATGGTAATGCTTTTTTCCTCAGTTGGTCAGCACAAACGTGACAGACTTGTTACTTGTTCAGATGGCAATATAAGGTGAAAATTCTTATTTGGGTCATATTCCAAGATGTAGGCTAGAATCTGTGATTGCAAAGTACAGTAAATATCCACACCAGTGCGGTAACCGACTGCTACACATACTCTTCAGAACATTAGATTCATCCGCACTGGAGCCGTGCCGACTCACAACCCACGCAAGCTAGATAATTCCGCACTCAGCTGCAATTCCAGATTTTCAAACAGAGATGGCGACAGAGGCAAAACTTACAGACTGCAGCTTTAACATTACTCAAATAAGAAAAACATGGATTTGGCATAGAAGAAGTGGAATAGAATACGTAGGTCCTGGAGAAAAACATGGGTGCTATCAAACACATCAAGAACATGTAAAAATAGGTAATAGAGAATACAAAGTTGACACAACACAAGCAAGCATAACTGCCAGAAAGACTGAAATTAAAAGTAAACTGTTAACGAAACCTCAAAATCCTATGTTAGTTTTTGAAGGAGAATATCAGAAATACTTTACAAAAAAACAAGACCTTTTTAAGACCTATTCTAGCAGTCAGCATCAATATCATTATAAACAGGAGAACTTGAAGTTTCAGTCTAGCTAATTTAAAATCCCAGTTAGAATGAATTCATTTCCAGAATTTTAAGAAAAACGCAAGCAACAATTGGGTGTTTTTTTTACTGTGTACTCAAACAGAAACTCCTGAAGTTTGGATTTTTTTTCTTTAGAAAGTTGTATCTGGGTGTTTTACACTTCCAAATAAAATTGGTCTACATATAACATTCCCCAAGCAAGTTATAGCAATTTATTACAATATTGTTATAGGCACTTTTCAGTGAAAAACAGGTATATTTAGTTTACTAACAATATAGATGTCTAAAAAAACATTTAGGGAGTAAAGAAAATGGAATGGAAATGGTTATATAATAACAAAACTGGTTTTTATAATAAAAAAAAAGACTTTTTCAGAGAAATATATTTTTAATCTGAGTATGAACAAACAAACCATGCAGCTATTTAGTGAAAACAATTTGTCTTCTGCAACAAAAATACAAACAGTGCAAATGATTCACAAACTACACACAAAATGAGAGAGAAATGGGGGTGGGACTAAGCATCAACAATAGTTCCGGTTTGGCTCAGAGAAATGAAATGCATTGGTTTCTTCTGACGAATCAATGTTGTCAATGTGATGATGTAATCACGTGCGCTGCGGAGCCTCTGAATATCCAAATAAGAGAATCTCCTCTTTACAACACTTTTTAAAGCATTCAGATATGATTAGTGGTTCAAAAGTTATTAAAGGGGTCATATGATGCTTTTTAAAGATCATTATTGTGTATTTGGTGTAACAGAATATGTTGACATGCTTTAATGTTCAAAAAACACATTTTTCAAATACTGTACATTATTGTAGGTCCTCTATGCCCCGCCTCTCTCAAACGCTTCGTTTTCTACAAAGTCCCTCCTTCTGACAAGTGCAGTCTGCCCTGATTGGCCAGCTGACCAATGCATTGTGATTGGCCGAACACCATAAGCACTCGTCGGAAATGTAATGCGCCTTACCATAATCGCAAGCTTCATCTTTCAAAATAAAATGTAAAGACAGAGCCCGAAAGGAGAACAGAGTCACGTGACAGACACAGTGATGAAGCTGGTATGTGTTTGCAGTACACAAGCCATGGTTAAGACAGCTGACCCCACTGTGATGTCTCTCTCTCTCTATCGCTCGCTCGCTCGCGCAGACACACACGCACACACACACACGATGCGC